GGAACCAATTAGATTTACATGAAGCAGGTTGTGCTGATTGATAGTAGCTGACCAAAATAAGCTTGGATATTTTTATGCATGTTGATAAACACTACCAAAATTGCATTCCTGAGTAAGATTTCAGCTGAAGGGCAAATTTTGATAGAATGTCAAGTTGACCATTTATATGATGATGTCAAGTTCACCTATTCATTTCATGTCTCCACATAGCTTGAATTAGAGAAACAAACTGGCATGAATTATAACAATAATAAGAAATCTTGAAAGATTCTGGTACTTTAAATCATATGGTACCATCATGCACTTGCCTGTACATTGAACTTTTTTGTGTTTAAGTTATATCTCTGATTGTTGTTCCTGAAATCCATTATGGTGACACTCTATATCTCTATTGAACTTTATGTTCAATAAAACCTCTAGGTCAATTGTAAATCTTAGTGGGTTAAAAACTATTAGCAATGTTAAAGTAATGTTACTGCAGAATACTACTCAACATATGATTCATTAAAATATTGCTTGTGTTCTGATGTTGTTAGGCGCCTATCTTTTTTCCCTAAATTCTTCCATTTACATTACCCCATATCCACCTACCTCAACTAAATTCTTCTGTGTTCTTTATTGAAAATACAGTCCTACAAAACCCAGATATAATAATTATAGCAAATGATTTGCTCTCAACAAATTGAGAAAAGAACTTTGTGCTGAAATGGATCATAGAAACCTACGCTCAGCGTTGTGTTACTTTACATGTGTGTTTTGTCCAAAATTAGTCATACATTCAAACCAAACCAATCTCTCAATGGCTTCTAGTGTAGATTACATCATTTCCCGAATGTTCCGACTCTTCTGGAAAGTTTTGTGTTCGTTCCTCATGTACTGTTACACAAAATGCTAAAAATATTCATATGAAATGCTTTCATATCACTTGCCTTGGAAAAGACAACCAACCTACAAACTTCAGAACTCAATTCCACTTCGGTCCATAAACAAAATCATGACTGAATCTATCAGGCCACCAGGGAAGATGATGCTGACATTTCTTTTAGTTCCAAAAATCCTCAGGTAACATGTGCATCTTTGGGGTGTTTGTTGTCAAAATGAGACCTCAGTTCCAAAGTTTGGCCATTAACCCTCATCTTGAAAATGAACATTTCAGGACTATTGTATCCTAGTTATCTTGTTTTGAAGATGAACAGGAACAATACTGAAAACTATATAACTGTAATAAGATATTAGCTCTTCTAATAGAAACTCAATAAGACACCAGACACTAAAAACCAGGCCCCAGTTGTTCAAAGGGCGGATAACGCCATCCAACGGATAAATCGCTATCCAGCGGATAAGTGTTACCAAAACGTACTGTGCTATCCACCGAAAAGAGATTTATCCAGTGTATAGCGTTATCCATCCTTCGAACAATCGGGACCATCTCAATTTCGTAAGCCATACATGTACGCACTGCGGACCTACTTTTCAATAAGTTGACCACCACTTCCACTATTGCTAAAGTAATCACACCAAAAAAGTTGGTTTGTCGAGCAACCAATCTAGCGATAATTTCAAATTAGCTGCCGTTCTGAATTCTTTTATTGCGTGCAAGGAACATCTTGTGCAGCTGAGAGACCATTAATGCGCGGTCAACCTGGACCCTAGTCAAATCTCTCTCAACGGGTCCTCCCCATAGTCTTCTAACACCAACCCTTCACACATACTAAGGTACCTTAGTATGTGTGAAGGGTTGGTGTTAGAAGGCTATGGGGAGGACCCGTTGAGAGAGATTTGACTAGGGTCCAGGTTGACCGCGCATTAACGGTCTCTCAGCTGCACAAGATGTTCCTTGCACGCAATAGAAGAATTCAGAACGGCTGTTAATTTGAAATTATCGCTAGATTGGTTGCTCGACAAACCAACTTTTGTGGGATTTTTTCGGTGAACTTAAAGGGCAACTATTTGGCTTTCGTGCTGCCAAGTTGTGATTCGAGGGAAAGTATTTAAGTGTGGTTTTCGAGCGATTTTGGCGAGCAGGTGTCAACAGAAGTTTCCTACCTTCCCGTATCTTGTGCATGGTGACTCGGTGGTGATTAGGGCGTCAAGCTAAAACACATCAAAACGGCCTCAAATAGCGAGGACAACAACACAGACTACTCTCTATGAAGGTAAGACTTTATTTTTTTGACTATTTCACACAACTTTACATTTACGGAGCTCAAAAGCAAGTCCAACTAAACCACTATACGAACTCTTTAATAATCCACGGTGAAAGAGCCTGTGACAGAGCTTGGGCCACCTGTGGTTGAACTGGCGATGTCTTCTGCGTTAAGAAAAGTGACAAATCCTGATGTCCACAAGGAAAGAAAAAGCTATGGACCTTCTGCTTTCATTTTAATATCCCTAAAGGCATGGTAAGTTTAACCTTAAAACATCCAAATGTTGTCTGGGTGAAAATCGGCTTCGCGCTGGAGCGGTCGAAAATGAGCTTTCCTCGAATCATCCGACTCAATCGAAAGTACGTAAT